TAGATGGACCATTAGATCCAACACCAGATGAAAAATATTATCATGAAAAATCAGTTATCAAACATCGTGCACAAACATGTGATTGTCACTCTACAAAATGGTGCAGTATATTTTATCGACATTATACTGTCAATTCACGTATGTTTCACTCATTAGCATATAATAAAAGACAATTGTCAAATAGTTATGTCGTACAATATTCAACTAATTCATTAGATAGTGATCCTTGTTTTGGTAAAGTGATTGTCTATTTCATTTCTTCATTTTCATCTTCATCAGATATTGTCAATTCGATAGTACTCTCCTTCTCTTCGTCGATTCCATCCATTTCGTTAATTTCTGAGTGTTGTTCTGTTGTTCTTCCAATATCTGATAGTTGGTTCGATAGTTTTCGTTAAATTTATATAATTCAAATGAACTGTTCTCATTACGACGAGAACTTTGTCTCTTCCACCATAATTCTGCTTTTGGCACATGAATTCAGACTGACCATATTACTTTCACGGCGAGAATTTTACTTTTCTAAAGAAAATTTCAGAATTTAAGTCTGTTCCCGGAGAATTCTGCTTAATAACAGGACTTCAGACAATCCATATTACTTTCTTCACGAGAATTGGACTTTTCTACGGGAATTGACAATTACCGCGAGAATTTTAGTCACTTCCACGAGAATTCTACTGCATGGACAGGAATTCGGACTGGACATAGTACTTTCTCTACGGGAATTTTATTTTTTCACAGGCATTTTCAGAATTGGGGCTAGAATTTTAGTCTCTTCCTCGACAATTCCGGTTCATCCAGAGGAATTAGTACTGACAGTATTACTGTGTCCACGGGGATTTTACTTTTCTTTTAGTCTCCTGCACGAAAATTCTACTTTTCTACAGGAATTTTGGCAATTACCACGAGAATTTTAGTCACTTCTACGAGAATTCTGCTTCATGCAGAGCAATTCAGACAATCAATATTACTTTCTTGGCGAGAGTTTTACTTTTCTATTTTGACATAACTTAGTTTGGGACTTGTTTCTGACATCCGATGTTTTTTTAAAAGATATGCTGCGAAATACTCTACAAAATCATACCTAAACTATAATATCAGAACTTCAATCAAGAAACCTAAGCCAATTAGATGAAAGTCGAAAAAAATGTAAACTTTTTAAACTCAAAATTTTTTTCAACTTGAACCATTAGAAAACTGGTCACTTTTGCCGCGGTGAATGGAACGCCGAGAAAACTTAGCTCTATGCATAAAAGTTAATTGAATACGCCAACAGCATAAATTTTATAATTTGATTTTAACTTTCCTCCGGTGTCGACATAATCTATGCGATTTTTTGCCTTTCCCAGGTCGATTTTCGTGCAAAAGTCGCAGCACGACTCGCGCTAAAAAATCGCGGCGCGAACGCACTACGCGTTCGCTGTAGGACTCGTGAAACAAGACGCACTTTTAGCGATCGCGATAAAGTCTTGCTATAGTGATTCTCGCGACAAGATCTTGCTAGTTATATAGAAAATCGCGTTCTCGCGACGTGAGTCTAGCCTTGTTTTTAAAATCGCCACACGAGGTGGCAAGAGTCGCGTCGCGAATCCCGCCGGTCCGCGTATGCAAACCGGCTCTACAAGAATCGTGCATAGTCGCCCCAGATTTTTTCTGCTCCTAGTTCCATCCTATTTTTTGCTCATTTGATAGTTCTCCAGAAAGAGAAATTGCCTACAGTGTTTTAAGAGGAGTGCGTCCATCTCATCTCGGCTATCAAGATTTCAATCTCTCCAAAGACATCTTAGATTTATGCGTCGAAAATAGCTTCTTCAAATCATTTCAGATCACAATTTATACAGTGTTGTTTTCTTGCCTGGAGTATCATCCAGCCTTGTGATAAAGTTGCCTCGAATATACGAGTTTGTCTTCTTTGCTACATGTTCATTCAACATTATTTACGGTAAATCACAGTAAAATCACAAAACAGAAAGATAAGCATCAGTAAAAGAGTAATACCAGAGGTTTGCATTTCAGGGGGGAATGATACTTTGTTAGCATCCAGTTTGACACTTAAGTGCACCATGTTTTACCGGCTTACTCTTCGGAACATGATGCACGTAACAAGTACACAGTTATTTCAGAACAGTATATGTGGTGGAAAGTGAAGAAGCCTTCGCCTTTTCTATTGTTACAAAGTTGCACTAAATGGTTTTTTTGAAGTATGGTTAAGTCAGAAGGTATTTTGGAAAATCAAATTCGAAAGTGAGTGCTTCAAGGTTATAATCAACTGTTGATCTAACGGTATCCACCTATATTTTTCAATTCTGGTTTGCCATGAGACTGGAATTAGATCTCAAAATATACGTGAGATAGATTGATATCGTATTGCTCGTCTATGGGTTTTACCGTAAGGAAACATTTGTTGTATGTGATGAAACATCACGCTTGTACTTACAGAGGATGTGTGAGGGTGAAACAATGTGATACAGAGGATGTGTATCCGAGAAATACTAATGCTATGAACAGTTCGTTGCTAGAGCCGAGAGCTAATCTAGCATCCTGCGAATGAGGTGCTCTGGAACTATGCCGCTATCCTCTGTGCGTCAAACAGAACCGACTCGATCTTCGCTACATCCTGTAAGTCACCAACAACGAAGCGATGTTACACCGACGAAACTCATATAGAGACGATAATCAACCATTTGGTACATTTCTCACTTTAGTGCATTTATTTTGAGATCTTTTAATACGATCCACATGCTAATTGAACCTATACAGACGAATCTCTTAGATTTTGTGCATTTTCTGACAGTTTTTGACTTTCAAAACTGTTAGGAGAAAAACGGTTCAACTGTCTAACAAATGTAGCAAAAATGAAAGAGCTTATATTTTTCTGTTTCCACACACTGAAATTGCTGTGTACTTAACACAATTTTAGTTATATATTATTTAATATTTCAAACTTATATATTAAAACAAAAAATTTAAAAAAGCAGTGTATGGTTGCAATAGACTACACGATAAAGTGATCCGAACACTGCTATAACAAAAAAAAAATGACTATTAAAAGAAAACAGACACGTTGTATATACAATAGGTTAAAGATAAAAGAAGAGAACAACGTAACCATGAGCACAACACACATACACGTGGCCTGTTCTTTTCTCACTATGTGTGTGTTATATAAATTCAGAAAGATAATATAAGGTATAACACAGAACAGTCACGACTCGCGCCACGACTTTTTAAAACTTCTCTACTTAGACCGTAACTCAGCGATAAAAATCGCGACTCACAACGCGACTACGCAAACACCACTGTTTTATTACACTGTCTATTATATATCTGTGATTGTCTCGGCGCGAATCGTGCCGCGATAAGACACATTAATCATGTAGCGAATGTTAAAGATTTTTTCAAAATAAGATTAGGCCAAGATCACGGCGCGAGTTTAAGAATTCAGAAAAAACAAATGGAAATTACTGCCGAGAAGCCTGATGAAATTTTGGAGCAAGTAGTCAAGACTGTCAATTACAGCGTGTGGGAGAAGAAAACTGTTAGAGAAAAGCGAAAAAAGCAGTTTTTATTTATTCTGGCGAGTTCCATGCATCTCTGCTTTAATTTTTTTAATCGAAGTTTCATGTGATGTGTGGATGTATAAGAGACCCATAAGACTAATAATTATTGTGCCTGTCTGTTTTACTGATGAACGTGTGTTCTTCTGGTAAGCGAATAGACTGAGTTCAATTCTTGACAGGAACGAAAAGATCTTTTAATGTGTCTTTTCGTAAAGACATAGCAGAGGATAATGTTGATTTGTGTAGTGTCATATGTTCATTTGGTATTTCATGGATCGTCGTTTATATATAGCATCGTTGGAAAATAATGACATGTAGCCAAATACATCGGCTTTGCACATAACACTCCAAAGCTAACATGTACATTGTATTACCTTTTATCGACGATATTTCTTTTTAAGAGTCAGTTTCAGATCTCTGAGAGCATTTTTCTCGTTTGAGCACCATTCAAAATATTGAAGAGTGCTGAGTTGTCGAACTGCGACATACGTTTGTCGCCTCATTTTTTTAGATTTTTAGCACATTGTCTGAGGTTCAATAGTTAATTTTTCTAGGTAGAAAGACAGAAAATTTTGCGCTCTATCGATCTCACTCATTTACAAACTTATACAATGTTTCCACCACGTCAGTTGATCTCATAATTAGTTCTCAACCGGCTTTTCGATTTTTTCAAATTAAATTAATTTTTTTAATTAATGATTTCAATTGAGAAACTTTGTTTATATATCAAAAGATGCAGAATTTAATTCTATGTAAGATAATAAGACTAAAACCCTGGATTCAGAACGTTTTACTGCTTTTATAGTCCAAAAACTAAATTCTGTGAAAAATAGGTTCAAAAGTTAGGTTTTTTCAGATTTATCAGCTCTTTACATAGACAAATTTTCCGAGAAGATTTAACTGCAAAATTTCGAAAAATATGTGAGAAGATGCAAAATTTTCCGGTGAATCTTCTGATGTTTTCAAAAATCTTATAGAATCTATTTTTGGATCAAGGCAAGTGTTTTTCTATTTTCAGTGTGTCGCAGTTCGACAACTTAGCACTCTTCAATATTGTGAATGGTGCTCAAACGAGAAAAATGCTCTCAGAGATTTAAATAGTAGGTTTTTTAGAGCTTGAAATTCTCTATCTTTTGGTATGTAAAGGAACTTTTTATTTGAAGAGAAAGTACGAAAAAAATGCATGAAATGAAAACCTTTAAAAAAGTTTGAATAATAAGAATAGGCACTTCATCACAATAAACAGAAAAATTCAGTTTTTCTGTACGAGAAGATTTGCGAATAGTTTATATTTTGTATTTTTTCGTTCTGTGTTGCTTCTGCTTCACTTTTTCCCTTTATTACAAAGTGGCTATTCTTATTATTCAAACTCTAAGATTTTTCATCGTCAAAAATTCTTCTATTCTTTGTGTTGCATAAAACGTAAAAAAGAAACAGGCGATGGCTTCCAAATTTATAAATATTTGGGCTAAAGTTGAGGATGCAGAGGCAGCTAAAGTTAAACTAGAAATAAATGCTGATATCGATGATTTAATTAACGAATTAATTGAGAGTAATCAAAGTAAATATAGAGCCTATTGTGGAACACAACATTTACAACGTGATACAAAACTAAAACAACTGCAAGAAACATCATGTCGACAGCCATTAATAATTAAATTTGCTGATGAGTTCTCACCCACACTATCGACGTCTAATGCATCAGAAGTGCCCAGAAACAGGTTTCAAAGTAGTCATCCTGTTATTTAATAGTCCAGATATTTTAATCTCTTTTGCTTTAGGCGAAGATCAAGGTCTGTTGAATTAATTATGAAAAATAATTCATTTCTAATACCAAACAACACGGATAACGTAAGTGTTGTCAGTAACTTATTTTTTTGTGTAATAGAGCAACAATCTTAAGGACAAATGAGTATTAGCTAATGGTCATATTTGCTTTTCTCGTCATCTTCAATTTCTATGTTTTTCTTTCACGGTACCACTCACTATTTCTTTTGTAAAACGTAAACCAATGGACCTATTTAGAATAATCAACTGAAGTTGAGTGATCAGTGAAGAAATGGAACAAATTAAAAGCAATCCTGAGTCTAAATAACTGAAATAACGTTTATGGTGCTGATCATCGGTTGACGTCATTTCTTTATGATCTTGTTCTTTTCATTTATCTAAACATATGAGGTCTTGATTCAGCATCGATAGCCGAACTTTCAAGAACAAACTTGTTTTTTTATCCTGTTTCAAAATTCGAGCAAATCGAAGAACATTTTAGTTGAAACTTTATTGAGAGGAAACAGAAACAGGTGGAACTATTCTGCTAAAAAAGAGTCAAACTCACAAAGCATTGTATTATGCCAGCTGAGTGAGAACCAGTACTTAACTAAAAAGCAGACAGATATGAGTGAGAGAGAAAGAGAAGAAGAGACACCAGGAGTAAAAAGATAAAGAAAAAACTTAAGCAAACTAAGAATAACATTCGATCAAAATAATATCCGACAAAAGCTGCAAAGACAGGAATATGTATCATGTGTGTGTGTGCAACTCATTTCGAGAGCCATTCATTGCATTTGCAAACTCAATTACAGAAAAATATACGACCGAAAATCCATTGCAGTGGTGTTTATGTTTTAATAAAAAGTCTTTTCAACTTAATCCATGTCTTCGCATATTGAACCTCCGTAAACAGTATAACAGTGACAACAGAGCAGACGTTTCACAATGACAATCATCCAACAAGGATAGAGATTTTCTTGGCTAATTATTGTTTAGCTAATTTGTTTTCAAACAAATGCTTTTTCGAAGCAACAATACTTCTATCCACTTGGATGACTGACGATGCGATTAGTATTAGCATATGCATTCCAAAAGTGAGTCAGACGAACAGAAAAGAGAATGAGTGATTTGATAATTTATTCACACGCAAAACTGGACTTCATCAACCACTCGACATGCACAAACACAATATCCTCTGGTAGTGTTTGTAATAGTTCTTGACAGCACAGGTCTTGATTGACCAAAAATAACTGACGAATCTTCCAGGCACCGATAGCTTCTTGGAAAAGTTTATATTCACTCAATATGCGTGAAATGATGTCTTCGGTTCGGTTATAGTTTCAATAGATCATCGAATATCATTTAGAGTAACAGTCAAATTGAAACACCCATCACACGTTTCGTCATGATCGTGATTGCATGATTCTTTATAGTTTTTATCGGCTTTATCCCTCAATGTATGCCTTATGCAATGATCCGCAACTCTTGAAGATCTTTTGCCGTACACTTTAAAATTACTTTTCAAATATTAATGTGCTCGTTTGTGGTCATACACGACACCGTTCATCAATATCTGTACTTAACTCGTCAATAAGTCTTATTATTTGATCGATTGCCATAATAGCATTCGCTGCAAAGTATTTTATGCCGACGATAGGGTTCTTATGCGACGCTTTACAGACGTGTAACAACATGAATAAACTGGTCTGACCTAATGGTAGGAACCGAAGATAACCCGAGGAGTTCGATTCAGGCTTTTTAGGCTGGTTCTAACTATCACCTTAATTTTGAGCTAGGGTACCTCCATATAGGTCTGAAAACTCTATACAGGTCTCACAGCCGTGTAGATTTCAATATCGGCATCGTGTAGAGTATAGAGAGTTACCCGTAAAACATTAGACTCGCTTTTCAAAAAGTCAAGTAGAATTTGCTTTTCCAGAAGTCGAAAGTCTTAGGGATACTTTTAGGATTTTCCTCTCAAACCCAAATAAAACCCTCGACTACTGTACATAAAATATGGTAGCACACAGCCTGAGTAAAATAGCGAACGAATTAGCCCGATACATATCGGTGTTTTCGACCACTAATCGATTTAGTGGAAAAAATTGAAAAATTTGAGGTCATATATCTCAAGATCCCTCGGGAAACTTTTTTCTAATTATTACGAGGGATGTTCGAGTTCCATCAATTCCGGAATTACATAACAACCACGAGAATTTTACTGTCTTGCACGAGAATTCTACTTGGTGAGAGGAACTGAGAATATCCCTAATACATTCTTCACAAGAATTTTACTTTCGCACAGGAATTTTGAGAATTATCACGAGAATTTTAGTCTGTTCCACGAGAATTCTACTTGTGTAAGAGAAACTGAGAATATCCCAAATACATTCTCCACGAGAATTTTACTTTCGTGCAGGAATTTTGGAAATCACCACGAGAGTGTGAGTCTGTGTACACGAGAATTTGAGTCTCTACGTCGGTTAGGTTCTGAACTTGATTTACGTGATGAACTCGAATTGAAGCTAGGTTGAAAGACGACTTCTACGTTGAGAAATCTGGAATGGTCGAGAAACGCGGCAACACAAATCGGTGATAAAGTTCATGTTGTACCTAAAGAAATTTACAATAATGTAAGGATTACGTGCAGGTGAAATACACAACTATTTCCACTAAGAATTCGTGTTAAAATTTCGGATTTCATAATATGTCGTTTGTGGCTCTTCGAGTATTTCAAGAACATTTCGCATACTGGAATTCCTCTTGGTGACTCACTGTCACACCCTCACCCTAAGGGCTAAAATTCACACAGGCTAAAATTCTCGTGGTAATTCTCAAAATTCCTGTGGAAAAGTAAGATTCTCGTGAAGAATGTATTAGAAATATTCTCAGTTCCGCTCACACAAGGTAATTTTTTGGCAAACGGCGTCTTCATCATCATCTTAAGGCTCGAAATTCGTAAAACATAGATCGCCTTTTAATGATTTAGGCGCTTTTTAGTCGGTTTTTCACTTCTACTGCTGCCAAACCGTTTCTAATATCATTAATTTTCTGATTTTAGGTAATTTTAATCATAATAAGGTAAGAAAATCAATGCACGTATACATAAATTAATGCTACAATTGTTTACGAATTTGATAATTAAGTTAAAAAGGTTTGAACTTTTCTCTTCGTATTTTATTATATTAATGAAGCAGTACAATTAACTAAACGTTTCGATATGTTAACATATCATCCTCAGTAGTTAAGAAACGTTTAGTTAATTGTACTGCTTCATTAATATAATAAAATACGAAGAGAAAAGTTCAAACTTTTTTAACTTAATGTACGTATAGGTTTAAATCTAAACCAACTGGACGCTTGTTCACCGATGATGCTTTAATTCACACGCAGCACGAGTCACTTAAAATGGTGTAGCATATTTTTGTAAGGATACATAAGAGACACTATTTTAATACGGGCGATACTTGGATGGTTCATCTAGAATTGAGATTCAGTATATGCCTAGATTCTCAACTTGTGTTTATGGTATTTTGTTTGTGAAAATTCAATTTTGTGAGCTGTTAGTTCGATGCTTGTAAAAAGATATGGATTCGTATTTTAAATATTCAAATTTAACTGTTCGAAAACGGATCACTGATGAATCAATATTAAATACATTTATAACCATTGTGAGTGGCTCGTGCTTGGTGTGAATTATGGTTCAGATGGTCTTTCTTACATAATAGAATTGCTTGCTATAGTGTTATGGGCTGAAGTCCATTCTCGCTTGATTTAGTGTTTCCATCACGTAATTAGAACTAAAACAGTTGAAATCTTTGTCAACACTTGCCTAGTGTTTCAAACAAACGTACGTTTTATACAGAATATTGCGACAATATCGGGTCTATCTGCACGATATATTACGACTCTTTATATATGGCATAAGTCAAATCGAGCCATTGATCGATTGTAGAATCTTTATGAGAAAAATAGATCGGGGTGTTGTTAAAAGATTGTTTTTAATGAGATAAGAGTATAAATCGATAGAATTAAAAATTCGCGGATGGGTCGGAGTTCTGTTCGCGGAATAGTCGTGTCACGTATATAGATCTGTAGTTGAAATACATCCACCTTCATACATTCTAGCGCATAATAGATATTTATTATATAGGAAAACTAGTATCTGGGACGTCAAAGAATATACGTTTGCTTTAATTTTTATCTCTTCTATCAAAATAGTTTGTTATCGATTTTTCTTCTACAGATCAAATGTCATGTCAAGTTATAAATGTCGAGGAGTTGCAGCACTACGAAGATGTATGTTCTTGTCAGTTCTATTTCTCTTTTACAAATAATACTCTGTACCTCTACATTCTTTCCACAACTATTAGCACATTGTTTTTTATTGGTTAATTGTTCAAAATAGCCGTATCTTTTAAACGGCTGCAAAAGATAGACCTACTTGTTCAAGGACGGATTTTTTATACCTAAATGATCTACACGATAAGCTGAACAAGAGCTATTTTTCAAAGGCGAAAACGGTTCCTTGAGTCGTAGTGTATCGTGCAGATAGACCCGATATTGTCGCAAATATTCTATATAAAACGTACGTTTGTTTGAAACACTAGGACTCCAAGAGCAAAAATGTTCTTTTTTGGGAAGTGATTCCCAAAAAAGAACAAAAGTGTCCATTTTTGGCAAAGTGATTCCCAAAAAAGAACACTTTTGTTCTGGGACTCCTGGACTTCAGGAGTCCGCTATTTCCCCCTTGACTTCAGCCCATAACACTATAACAAGCAATTCTATTATGTAAGAAAGACCATCTGAACCATAATTCACAGTGTAAAGCGTAGTGTACTTTTTAACATTGAATCCTAGACTCCATGAATCCTACAATCTTTGTATCCTAGAATCCAAGCATCTTATGTGTCTCTAGTATAGGTACTCTGTGTCCGGCAGGACAGCAACAGAAATCAGAGAGCTAAGGATGTATGAATACAATGGTTAAACTAAAGCGCACTAAATTCCTTTCTCAATAAATACAGATGTGCGGGAATTTCGAGTTTGCGGCAAACGCAAATTCTCCATAATGTCCGTATTAAAATAATGTCTCTTATGTATCCTCGCAAAAATATGCTCCGCCATTTTAAGTGACTCGTGCTGCATGTGAATTAAAGCATCATCGGTGAACAAGCGTCCAGTTGGTTTAGATTTAAAACTATACGTGCACTGGTTTTCTTACCTTATTATGATTAAAATTACCTAAAATCAGAAAATTAATGATATTAGAAACGGTTTGGCAGCAATAGAAGTGAAAAACCGACTAAAAAGCGCCTAAATCATTAAAAGGCGATCTATGTTTTACGAATTTCGAGCCTTAAGATGATGATGAAGACGGCGTTTGCCAAAAAATTAGCAGAGGGGGTCCCGAGGGATCTTGAGATATATGAGCTCAAATTTTTCCACTAAATCGATTAGTGGTCGAAAACACCGATAGGTATCGGGCTAATTCGTTCGCTATTTTACTCAGGCTTTTTCGATGTTTGTAAGCCACATGGCGGAGTTCATGGGATCAAAGAGTACGAGGAGTGATTAAAGTCGGCAGAAGCAAAAACAAAATTCGCCTTTCGTAAAAGTCTATGATTTTTCATCTTGAAGACGTACGAGTGCAATGCCGGCAAAAACGATAGAATCAGTGTAGTTTTTTAGATGCCGAGCAGGCAGATCAAATTTGAATATTGATTTGAACAGTCGTTGAAGCTTTTTATCACATGCAGCATGCGTTAAAATTTCGGATAAAATATTTTGAAGAAGGTTTACTAGAAAACCGCACCAGGTGAGCTCTACGTTGTAGAGGATTATGATAAAGACATTTTTGATATAGTCATCTAAAAAAGTATAAAGTTTTGAATGAAGTGAGAGGTCGCTCAGCTCTCCATGATTAAGTGCAAAGTTGGAGGCATGAGAAATACTGAAGAGACAGCGTAATTTACTATAAATACATTCTGTTTAAATCATTAGATGATTTGTCACTTAATTTATGTAAAATATTCAAAGCGTGTTGAGTCAGTTCGCCATACATAGATACACTAAATATTCTTCCAATTTTTCACGATTGCTTAGTTACTATATGCGTCTTCTTGAGAACAAAAATACGCAGTAATGGTACGATTCAGTTTTGAATTGCCAATTCAATAAGCTAGTTCATTCGAATTAATATTAAGTTGTACTCTTTGTGTGAGATCTCTGGGAAGGAAAAAATTGCGGTCAGAACGCCTAAAGCAATTCTACGGGAAGGAAATGAAAATTTTCAGTTAGTGGATGGAGGTCATCCGCTAGTCGGTACAATCCTGAGGAGAAGAATACGACTACATCACGATAATTTATCCTATTTTACCCCATATTGAATGATTTAAACTTTCTATGTTTTCTAGATGCTCGGAGAACACAAATTCCCATTTCCTCCTCATAATCAACAAAACCATGCCTTTGAACCTCCCTTACAAAATCACCACTTCCAACAAAGTGCTTTGTACAATAGTACAAATTTTTCTCAAAGACATCATCCTCAGTCACAATTTAATCAAGATCAAAATATTACAACACAACAATTTCCTCCACCAGATCAAAATCAATTTCAACATTTACAGACAAATATTGATTGTCGTTTTCAAAATAACGATAACAATAATAATCCACATGGACAACCACAACATTATCAATCATTGCCAGAAATATATTCATCACCATACAGTCCTTATTATATGGACACATCGATGGGTGGCCTAGGTGTAAGTGTCTTTTCTCGTCCAAATTTCCTTCAATGTAACAGAGCGTTGTAAACAAAAGAAAGGTTGCTATCTCTTCACGTTGACCATGCGGAGGCAGAGGGAACATCGATGCTTACTATCAAAGTGAAAATATAGTGTGCTACTTTATTGTTTGAATAACTTATGATAGGAAAGCGACAGAGGCCTGCAGATTTCGCCACTCGAAAGCCAGCGTCGGGACACATCTGTTTGTTCACACTATGCACAATATCAGTTCGCTGCGAATTCAAATATACTAGTCACATTTTCAGTTCGCAGCGAATTATATTATATATATGTACCGGACACATGTACAAGGTTATTCGTGGCCGGCGCGAAGGCGTGGAGAATGAGCTCGAAGAGTAATTGCACAACATCCTAAATTCGTAAGATACCTAAGATACCCTAAATACCCTAAGGTATTTTTTTACACCCTAGAATATCTTAGGAATCTTAGGTATCTAGGATATCTACATAGATACTCTAAATACCCAAGATACCTAGCGAAACAAAACAGTTTGAGAAAAATGAGTTCGCAGCGAACTGAAATTGTGCACGACCTCTTTTTGTTGCCAAATAAATTTTAAAATTAGCGTCAAAAAACGATTTTTTGTTCGTATTTCGCTGTCAGTACTCTAGACACCGTTTCGGAAAATCATATCGTGGTATAAAATGCCTTTGCGTGCTTGTTACAAAAATACGATAGCTAGCGAACTGCCTAATGACCGTATATCCGTGGATTAGGAGTTTTGTAATTTTAGGTGGTAATAGTCCGAAAAGTATATTTTCTCGCAAGCTTCTGCCTGGTTAATTACGTATATTCCATGCAACTTCAAAGTTTCCCCAAGTCATTGCATAAGTAGTTCTGAAGATACAAGTAGACCTGATAACTCGCCCGAATCAATAAAAATCAAGGTCTCATTTGACTCGTATTTTGAAACGGATAGTTTGAGCTAGTCTATGCAAAAAGTCACTATATTACCACTTTGATTTTTGATGTAGACTGCTTTTTCAAAGTTTCTCGCAAACCTTGCTTTTGGAAAGCGTTTTATAATAGAAACCTTTATTTTGTTTAGAACTCCTAAGACGTGGAATTAGAAGAAATATGAGGATAGCACCGAGTCAAAAGTTTTACAATTCTTTGATAAGCGAGTGATGAACTGATGAGGAATAACTAGCTGATTCTAGATCATCTAAAAATCAGATCGTCAACGATCATTGGAACATAATATCATCCCACAGATTGTTTGATATTATTCTTATGACTATAGCTTTAGAGCTCCAGAATTATACTACTGTAGACACAGGTGAGCAAATTCAAGTCTGGATTTGGAAGTTTTTTTGACGGACTTGTACTTGGGGATCTTTTATCAAGTCCGTTTGAAGTCTAAGAAGTTAAAACCTTTTACATTCAACAACAGAATCAGCATAATCTGATACCTAATTTATTATTTTGTCAAACATCTATCAATGTATCGATAAAATTTATTTACCCGTCAGATATGATTATGACGTACTGCGCAGTACAGAAGCTGCTATCAAGAACTTCGACTCGAACTTGGACTAGAGTTGGACTTAAGCTCCAGAAGATTTGGAAATAGTCGAACTTGCCCACCTCTGACTGTAGATAAAAAAAGTAATAATTAAGTTACAATATTTTGCAAAAATAATTTATCATTTTTCAAAACGATTTTCATTTGAATTAGAACAAGTTTGCAATATGTTTCTACAATAGTTGAAATCAGTATTTCATACTCTTTTTATGTCTCTATTTCATAATTTTTGTCCATGCTTTTGTGTTAACCTATACTGCTGAGCTGCACTAAATTATAGACATTTAATACCAATTGTTTCGTTCTTTTATCTGCATCATGAGACAGTGAACGATAAAATAGCTTTTATTTCTCCGAAGAAACAGATCAGAAATTTCACCACAAGAACGTGTATGAATATTTTTATGTATGAAATACTGATTTCAACTATCGTAATAACATATTGTGAACTTGTTCTTATTTAAGTCAAAATTGTTTCTGAAAAGTGATGAATTATTTTTGCAGGTTCAGATGGCCTAAAACCATCACATCACCACTATAGTGTACGATGTGGCATAGAGTTGATATGGAAATTCTATGCTTCTATGCTCTTTTAACTATAAGCGACCTTATTTATGTATTCGGGTTCAGCAAAACATTTTACTGATGAATAATCTAATATAAAAAATTCTTGATTAGACCATCTACGTAACTCTACTATTAGTGTCTTCCAACTAATCAAGACAGTTCCACTGAGAAAACCATGGATGGTCTAACTTTAATTTTTTTTCAGCTATTAGCGATAATCGAAGAGTCGCAAAACTGTTAACTGAATACCAAAAACATCGAACTAAGGTCAAAAACATAAAGTAGTTCTGTAAGCAAGTCCGATGTAGCAGATTCAACAGATGTCGTTCAGAATTATCAAAAATCGTGGAAATGCAGGAGGCTTTATTACAAATTCTTAAATATATGACGTCTCTTTTCAGTATTAAATAAGTAATCTGTTTGAGACTTTAAATGATAGAACTGCTTCTGTTTTGACTCTCTTTTATATGACATTTTCTACTCGATTCCAGTTTCTTTTTCTCTAAAATGTTATTTGAATGTTACACGAACAAATACGTTCCGTTCTATATTGTGCATTTTTAACTTTTATGCTTTTTAAAAAATTCTCTCTTTAGCAGTTTTCAAACGAAATTTATTCTAGTCCAGGACTTGTGCTTCCTACACTGGAATACTCAGGTAGATCCGCCTTTAATAGACGCAATGTATAAAAGTCATTTTTTTTTAGGGACACTTGGTCGTCAAGTTTTTCTCCACAGCTAAAGACATGGTTTATTTGAAAACCTTATCTTGCACTGAACATGTTCTGTTTTGCGATTCATTTTAAGGGGTAAATTTATGAAATATTGTGAATCAGATACCAAAATGGATGAAATTTTTCCGTCTGATTGATCCGCAAAAAACTTTCTAATCAATTAGAATTGATCCTAAGCACAGGAATTTCGTGGAAGCAAAGAAACTTGCGCTGGCTTTTACCTGACATTATATAATTTTTCAATCCTTCCAGCCAAATCAGCTTTTTTTCTAGCAGTTTCACGCAAAACTTCCAACAAAAACTTTCTAGGTTTTGATAGATTTTTAAATCTATTAAATGCATTAAAATGCGTTTGAATTAGAATTTTTTTTATTTATAGTTTACTACTTAGTTTTGGGTAAGACGGACTTTTTATGTAGTACTTTTATTTGTAGTAAAATTCAGAATTACTTATGAATAATAATTACTTAAAATTATAGATTTCAGTTTCTCCATCCTGAAAGTATGCACGAATTTAAGTCGCTACAGTCTGAAAAATATGTCTATTTGTTGTCTACTAATACCGCTATTAGACTTTTTGATATAATATACATAAAAGTTCTAACTACGGTCGTATAATATGCCTCTTTTCAGCTGTCTGTCTGTCGTCCGTCTGACCGACTGAGTAACTGTACACTTACCAAGAACCGTAATTGGAACTGTCTCACGAACATAGAATTTAGCTCTCATGAGGAGATTGTTAATGAGTGAATCAGTAAGACAGACAGACAAGCATATCTGTCTGACAAGTTTTTCAAATCGTAACGCTTTGAACTCGTGAATAGTATGTCTGTCTTCAGTATTGTCAAAATATTTGGCTATTAATCAGTTTCATTTTCTTTTTCCACATAAAAACCAAAGGAAAATGTCAATTAAAGTTTGGTGGAAGTATGATAATAAAGTAGACGAAGCAACAAAGAAAGAACTAGATATAAATTGTGATATTGATGATTTTAAAAGGTTAATTGTTGGTAAATATCATACAGGATCTTATCAAGTTTATTACAAAGGTAAAAGTTTGGTACCAGATAGTAGTGTTCAACACGATACAAAATATCAAGAACCACTATTGTTAAAAAGAATTGAAACTAAACAATTTCATGATGGTAGATTAAAAGTTTTATGCGCCTGGGTTATTAACTATCATTTTAAAACAAACATTTAGAGTCGCTACCATCAACAACAACATCATTTAACAAGAACAAAAATGAAATGACCCATCCACCACTACCAGTGACATTCGAAAGGTGAGAAGTCAATTAGAGAACGTTTTTTATTTAAATGTCGCTGACTATTAATCCTTAGTTCGGCAGATCTAGATGGGAAAGTTCTCGACGAAGAAGAAAAGCAACAACAGCAGCAACAAGAATACGGATATGTATATGAACGGCAAGAACCAGGTAAGTTTTATACTTAAACTGAATAATCATTCGTACAGAGCACATCTTGAAACACTCAGAAAATTCAGACAATGACAAATGACAGAAGACGGTTTCTCCAAGAAAATGGTCCTGTATATTTTCATCATTTCGAATGGAATTTGTTTTGTTGTTGCATGGAACACGGTATTGTAATTGAATGTGAAAAAAGGGAGTTGGTCATCCCAATCGGTTTGTTGTTCGTTTGATAACGCCGCAATTTTGGCATCCATTGTTGAATTATATCGTTCAATTTGGCCGTTGGTTTGTGGATGATATGGTATTGAATATAAATGAGTAACGCCAATTTGTTGAAATAATTCATCCATCATTCTGACTGTGAAATGACTTCCGTTATCCATCAAGATACATCGAGGTGTTCTATATTTTGTGATGATATCTTCCTTGAGAAACGAGCAGCTGTCTGAGCAGAGCAATCCCGTACCGCTCGAGCGACCACGAATTAGGACAGGACATCAGCGAGCGAGATGATGTATTTGTTGCCACGTTTTGATGTTGGTGAGAAGGGACCATGGAAATCCATCGTTAACAGTTGCCAGACTTCATCTGGAGGTTTAATGGGCTTTAATGCACCGGGAGCTTTTTGACGACGAGGATCAAATTGAGCATAAGGAATGCAGGACTGCACATAATTTTCGATGTCCTTGTTCATAGAGGGCCAAAAATAACGTTTATTGATCTTGTCAATTGTTCTTCCACGACCAAAATGTGCTCCATTAGCTGATGTATCATGATAGATTTTGAGAATGCTTGACCGATATCCACTTTTTGTAACGTATGAAACTGGAGGAAAGGCTCGGCGAATTAATATGTCATTTTGAACGAGATATTTCTTGTGATTCTTGATATTGCGCATTATGTCTTGCAATTCAAGGTCATCGTACTGTGCCTCTTTCATTTGCTCAAGAGTAAATGGAATAATATAGTTCT